AATAAAGTATTATGCTTTAGATATGAAGTAGTAGATATAATGCAAATAATGAAATTTGTTACCTGACTTGTAGAGTTAAATTGTTACCAGACATGGCTTTATCACTTATGAGAAACCTTCTCTGCCATTAACCTGAGCAATGAATCAAACTTTTTTAGGCACATACTTTATTTCACATACTTTATTTGTTTTAAATAATTATAAATTGTATCAAAATACTCAAGAGGAATATGTACTCACATATTTTATTGTTTGCGCAACCTCTTGAGCTGGTATTTTAACTAAATTTTCAGCTTCCTTGTTCATAACAATGAAAGTAATTTTTGCAGATTCATCTTGAACTTCATAGACGACTTACTGGAAACAGAAGCACCTTCATGTCCATTCAAAGAAAACGCGTCTGCAGAAATTCAGAAAGCACACTCAAAGTTTAATACTCACAAACTTATTACTCAACAATCTTGTAAATAAATTCAAAAGTGTACTACTCAATCAATACTTAAATTTGTATAATCATTTCTCTTGTAGAAAGAACTAATAAATTGTATTTGTATCAAATCAATCAATACTTAAATTTGTATAATCATTTCTCTTGTAGAAAGAACTAATAAATTGTATTTGTATCAAATATATCTCTTTCAGTATCAGAAAGAACTAATAAATTGTATTTGTATCAAATATATCTCTTTCAGTATCATTTAATCGTTCTTGAAAATACGAAACAATGAAAATTTTCTTACCAATATATATATTATCAAACCTTTTGACAAATTATAAGATTGAAGCTCAATGTATATTATTCTTATCAAGTACAATCTGATATTTTCTGATCTAATTCGCTGAAACCGATTTGACAGTTATTATGATATTTCAATAAAGAATTATTATAGTGTACATTTACATATTATTAATACAATACTTATAAATAAGAATATTTATAAAATTAGCACATGTAAAAGATAATACAATATAATAATCTAGAAGTAGAAAAACATAAATGAATATTTAATAATCAACCGAATCAAATATACCTCTGGTCAAATCCTATTCGATTCTGCACCGAAAACTAAAAGATATTCATTTACTATGAAATGAACAACTGAATCGAATATGACCGAATATCTGGACGAATAATAACCGAACTGTTTATTAGTTACTTGGTTCGTTTCCACCCCCTTGCAGTAGCATGTGAAGTTGAACTTCAAACAGGATACAAAATATTTACTTCAATAAGGCATGATTTTTCAGCTCTGAACATGACAGGTATTTTGACAGTTGCAAACTATGCAAGAAGCATATTATATCTACTATCTACCATGCTTAACAGAATACCTCCAAATCCTAGAATAATCCCAAGTTGAAGTTCGCGCAAGCCTAGTTGAGCAGTTGACGTAGAAATGCGAGCATGGCATGCCTGGTTATTCACAAATGTTACAGACAATCTTAAAACCCTAAACATGCATGAAACAGATGTCAACAGATATTTATAACAAACATTAAACATACCATTGCAACCTCTAAGCACAGCCAAGAGCTACACCATCAATAGCTGCCACTGATGGTTTTCTTGCACCTGAAGTCAATTGGACGGAAATTGTAAAAGCCTATCCAGCTACAATAACTGAATATTGTTGAACAATGTCAAAAATGAAAAAGATCTGAGACTTACCTTCTAACATATTGGTGATGATATCTATTGAAATAAACCCAACCTTCGGTTGGTCCACTGATAACGTGACATAGAGGAGTCAAGAGCAATTTTAAATTAAAAGATGGACTGAGAGTATGAAGAGCTGAAATTGAAAAAGTTTTTCCTTTTTCTTTCCCCCTTGAAGGCCACCAAAAGCTGTGATGTCAAAACCTCCAGAAAACTTACCTCTTGCACCTGGATAATTGCACATAAAGTAAGCCTAATCATATCCTACTAAAATAACTTGTCAGGGTACAATGGGTGATGAGTAATTTGAGTAGTCATGCTACCTGTAACCACAATGGCTTTCACATCATTTCTTCTCAATGCTTCTTCATATGCATCTTTAAGACTAAGTAACACTGTCACAGGATGTAGAGATTAACATTTTACTACAAGTCACGGAGATTATGAAGCCCCTGAAGTAAAAAAACTACACGGATCTTCAATGAGATGAGCATTGCATGTCAAGAATTCAAGATATATTAGGTGGCTATGTGGTTTAGAACAAAGAGGTAAGTGGCTTACTGATCAAATATATATAAGAAATTAAAATCTAAAGAAATAGGAGGGATTGGCCTTCGTACCAATCTAAAGCTATAGGAGGGATTGGCCTTCGTACCAATCTAAAGCTATAGGAGGGATTTTGCCTTTGTGCTTGAGAATATAGGGAGGAAGGAGAGTTTTAAAAGAGAAAGGAGATTTTATTTAACTTTCTTGGATACCATTCTCCTTATAGGACAGAGATGCTCGCTTCATTTTTCTCTTTCTAGATACAAATTAATTCGCTTTCTTATCTCTCTGTATAGGACAGAGATGCTCGCTTCATTTTTCTCTTTCTAGATACAAATTAATTCGCTTTCTTATCTCTCTGCTCTATATTCTCTGTTTGTACAAAACCAACAAATTAATTCGCTTTCTTATCTCTCTGCTCTATATTCTCTGTTTGTACAAAACCAAAAAAATTGATCCTTAAGATTATGGATCCAAAGAACATATACCAAGCATTCATATTTGATACCATTTACAATGTAAAAAATAAACTAACTTCATTCATCCCTTAAGTTGGAACCAAACTTGCTATTTACCCCAACCTACCTCAATATTAAAAATAAAAGTCCTTCGAAAACAGACTCAAATTGATGAAAAAAAATAAAAAAAATAGCGAAAATTACCTCCTCAGGCAAACACCGATCGATCCAAACAGGGCACTGCGACTTCAATCCCAAACCTGAATCCGATGACCTGATGGTAATTGCCTGATGGTAATTTTGTAGAAAAATTACCTGATTTGTAGAAATATCTCATCTTGAATTAGTCACCCCCATCCAAAATCTCCGGTTAGTAGCCGCTAATTTCCCTCAATTTGATGCCCACACTCTACTCAGACTGGCAATTTTGTACTATTATGAAAATTGAGAGGTTAGGGTTTGATTGGAGACCGAGTCCTGAAGGCGACTCCAGAGGGAGGCGGCGAAGCTCGGGACGGGGAGGGCGACCATCCAGTACCTCGACGCCATCGGTAAATGGTGAAAGCTTGCTTTGATATATGATCGATAGAGGGAGAAGAACTGAGAATTTTTTTTGGATGAGAGCATGACGTCGTTGAACTCCACTCGGTCCTCGGTATAATGATGCTAATGTGATCGGGTAGATCATAGTCACCTTTAGGACTCAGACTCCGAAATAGGGAACGTGAGAGAGAGAGAGAGAGAGAGAGAGAGAGAGAGAGAGAGAGAGAGAGAGAGAGAGAGAGAGAGAGAGGGGAGGGGGAGAAGGAGAAAGAGAGAGAGAGAGAGAGAGAGAGAGAGAGAAATGGGGAACGTGGGCGGTCTGAGGGGGGTGGGGTGGTTTATTTAGGAAGTTTTTATGTTAGCATCAGTTACGGGAATAAATAAAAAAATGAAGTAAAATACGTGGATAATGATAAAATTTACTGTTCATCAGCACTTTTTTGTTGTTCTCCTTTAGTAATAAAGAAGTAGATTTCTCCTCATTGAAGACATTAATCTGACATCAGATCAGTGGTTGAGATCTCATGTTCGTTTCTTACAGTAAAAGAAGACATTTGAAGGTAACTATAAAGTGATTGAGATCTCATCTTAATATCTTGATTTGTTAAAAAAACTAAATTTTTAAATAAGAAAACCTTTATTGTGTTGAGAATACTATTTTCTCATGAAAAAACTCTAATTCTGTTGATTACATCATGTGTAGTGAGAGTTAGGAAAGTGTTATACTTTCTTTAAAAAGTGCTATGAAAAAAGCTGAGCAATGTAAAAGTTCTATATTTTCTTTATTTGACACGAAAAATAAAAACTATTTATTCCTCATTTCTATAGAATGTAGAAAAATCTGGTCTTTGAATATTTAGGAATGAATATTGAATTATATTGTGCAGAAACGTAGAGAATTGCATATTGAATGTCGATGTTGAATTATATCATATACAATAAGAAAATGCAGGTTAGACTTGTATTTGTTTGGTAATATTTGATTGTTAGTTAAGTTCCCTACTTTTTTTTATGAACTTCAGTAATGGATGAAGAGCTATATTGTGCAATAATGGACTTCAGAGAAAACAATCATTTGATTCCAATGAATATCAAGGGGACTTTTAGTAATTTAGTGGCTGAGGTGCAAAGTAGAATTGCTTTTTTTTAAGCCCAATGAAGTTGACTTATGAACTCCCGTATACAGAAGAATTGTTTGTATGTGTCCATAATGACGTCGATGTGTCAATAATGTTCGACGTACATCTAAGTTGCAAGAAGAAGATAATTAAGATGCATGTTGACATAGATCGAGATACATTATTTGGTTTAGAGGCAAACACCATTCACATACGGTAAGAACTTATTGTATATTGTAAGGTCCATATTTCACAAAATTAATCCATGTTTATTTAATTTTTCTATAGTTCAAAGAAAAATTATGACTATATAATATGTCGACAATTAGCTATAGTACTAGACAAGAATTTTTATTAATGTTTCTAATTACTAATATAATAAGGTAACGACTTAATGTTTGCAGGAATCCTACCATATCTCTTTCAGAACAACATGCATCCTCGTTGCATAATCCATCCAATTCACAAAATGCATTACCTGAAGTTGAGAGATCCAATATTCAGATTCCTATTTCATGGTATCATGACATTAGAAGTGTTGGACAAGAATTTAATGACATTGAACATCTAAGGCAAAGTCTCGGAAATTACTCAATTGCACTCGGTTTTAACTTCGCTTATTTGAAAAATGAACCTAGAAGATTGATAGTAAAATGCAAAGGTATTGATTATGAATAGATGGTCCATTGTAACCGTCGTAGAGACTACAAACTGTTTTATGTGAAGAAAATTGGTCGTGCACATAGTTGTCTCGGAGGAGGCATAGGAGAGAAGGGACATCCACGGGCATCTCGCAAGTGGGTTGCAAATATTGTGAAATCCATACTAAAAGAACAACCCACCTATCGTGCAATTGATCTTAAAAAGAAGCTTCTAAGAGAGTTTGGTGTTGATATCCCCTATGGAACAGCTTGGTGTGGGAAAGAGCTTGCTCAACAGGAGTTATATGGGTATGCAAAACATTCATATGAACAACTTAGATGGTACATGGATAAAGTTATGGAAACTAACCCAGGATCAATCATCCATCTAGAATACGAAGGTGGCAGTTTTACTAGATTTTTTATCTCATATTATGCTTGTTGGAAGGGTTTTGTCGATGGATGTAGACCAATTCTATTCTTAGATGACACCCATCTTTTTGATAGGTACAAAGGAACTCTACTTGTTGCTACTGCTTTGAATGGAGATGGAGGAATGTTTCATGTCGCTCTCTGCATTTGTGGAACTGATAATGAGAGTAATTAGGAGTGGTTCCTCGAATGCATTTGTGATGTATTGTACATTTCAGATGATCCATATACTCCAAATGATGAGCTGGTTATAATCTCTGATCGAGACAAAGGACTTCAAAATTCCGTCAAGAATTGCTTCCCATGTTCATGTCATAGTTATTGCATCCGCCATTTAATAGCCAATTATAAGAACAACTTGTCAAAGAAAGGGTTATCAACACCACTTAGGGATGACTGTGTTCATATTATGAAGAGAGCTGCCTATGCCTACACAATGCATGCTTATCATAATGAATGTAACGAGCTCAAGAATAAGTCAGCTATTGCTTTCAATGAAATGCTGAATATGAGCCCACAGAACTGGGCTAATTATTATTTTCCTGGAACGAGATCACCATTTTTACATATTTTTGGTCTTTGTGACTGAATCTTTGATATGTGTGTTTGAACTTGTATGCATTTTATTTCTGTCAAAAGTTGCTTGCATTATCATCAAACTTGTTACACCGTTTATCGATTATAAGTTTGAAGAAAACAAAGAAAAGTTGATCTTTTTATAAGATCTTCTTAATTACAATGAAAAATAAGATTACAACTTTATCAAAAAAAATGCAGAGGAAGTTTATCACCCGCTGCTTTGCGTGGGATCTTTGCCTGTGCCAGGGACGTGTTAGTCTGTGGACCGCCACAGATCAGATCCGGTTAACAAGTGTAATTATGCTCTTGTTTTACAAAGGAAACAATCGCAGCAGTGACAATCACGACCAAGCGAGATTGTGACTCTTCTCGAGATCAAAACGAAGTTTGATCCGGAGGAAAGAGGGGGAAAGAATCTCAAATCTTTCGAAGGCTTTTTTCTTTATGAAAAAGTTCGCCAAGATTCGCTGATTCTCCTCTGAAATTTGTGGTCTACTGTTCAATTGGACAGCACCTCGCCCTCAGATTTTAGATCCTCCCAATTGAAGACCCTGGGCTTCTATTTATAGGCTTTTGTCGCCGTGTTTTCTAATAAGATCAAGTGTTTTGACGTTATCTGTAGTTGATAACCGCCTAGGCATACTTAAGGATAACTTCAGAATAATTGGGGAGATCCTAGGACATAAGAATTCTAATAAAACATCAAAATCCGTGTTGTGGGAGGCCCAGATAGTCATGGTGACTCGGAGCTATGCGAGTCACCATTTGGTGACTCGGCTATATACGAGTCACTTGGCCAATTTTTTTTTTTTTTTGACTTTTTTGGTTGTTTGCAATTCCTTCGGTTCGCTTGTTCTCTCCTTTACGCGTGTTTCGTCAATTTGTTGAGTTGTGCGCTTTTACCGATTCTCTTAATACTTTTCATCGTCATTAGAAAAACTTCTTTGACTTGGATGATATTATTCATCATCTTCTCTTTGTCTTGAACTATGTGTGGGAACCCATAGGCAATTTTCGACGCCTACAGATACCTCCTCCAAAGTGTTTCAGTCTCGTTTCTTTTATAGAAGAGACTGGAATACTTTGGACATAATAGACCCAACCTTCAATCGGTGTGATAAGACCTGTAATTGGTTTCTGCTCTTAGTTTCTTTAGTCTCCAATTTTATTCAGTATTTTGTCGAATAGATGAAGTTCTTTTGATATTGCGTTTATCGTCTGACCGTTGTTGAAGTCTTGAACTGAGGCTGGTGTGTAAATTTCTGAATTTAGCTCGTGCTATCGGGTTGACTTTGAATTGATCATCTTCGTCGGAGTTCATATCCGTAGTTTTGTTTTGGCGAAGCCATCGGTGCGTTGACCTATGTTAACACAGTTTATACTCGTACGTTAACTGGAGTCTACACAGTTTAAACTCTTAAGGCGTTGGAGCGTGGCGGTCCCAAATTTCGGGCTGCAGGACCAACTGTTAAAGCTGATTCAACTGCATGTATGGATCTTGTCATGAAGTTTGTTAGATGCTCAAGTCATGAGACCAACTAATGGGGGCTGGTGCGTCAATGACTCTCATATTTATAGGATTTTTGGTAAACTCTCAGCCATCAACGGGTTTGATGAGCCTTTACCGACTACCGTTTGAGTCGGACTAGCATGTGCATTATCTAAATCCGTTTCACATGTAACGTTGTGCTAATAGAATGAACTCCCTTAGATTTAGTGCTATGACTTTGAATACGTAGGCTTTATCTTTTTTATGGGGGTGGACTACCCGGCAACGCGTGTTAGGCGATGACTTATTCCTACTTAGGCTTCGGAATAAAAGTTCCTAGACTTGTAAGGCACGGATTATAGGAGTTGAAAAAATAGTGTCTTCTCTTGGGGCAAAGACGAACCCGATGCTGGAGAGGAAGAATTTTATATTTTGTCCCCAGTTCTTATTTACGGTAAAGATAGACCCAAAACGGGAGAGGAAGAATTTTATATTCTATCTCCCAAAACTAAAGAGGAAGAATTTTATATTCTATCTCTAGTTGTGAAGGAAACTTGAGGTGGGATCTCCACCCCCAGAATCCGGAAAGGTGAAACTAGGAGTGAGATCTCCACTCTGAGAATCGGAAAAAATTCGAATAATCCTAACTGTCAGAAGGTTTAATTACCGAACTAAAAGTGAATTTCTCGTTTATCTAGAATGAATTGTGGTTTTGGTCCTAAATGTAAGAAGGTTTGACTAAGTGGGAGTTTGAGGCGACCCTAACTATTTAAGGGTTTGATCGTTCAATCTATAGACCCCTCGTTCATGGAAGGAATCGAGAGGGGATTTTGGTTGTGGTCCTAACTGTTTAAAGGTTTGACCAAGATAGGAATTTGAGATGACCCTAACTATTTAAAGGTTTGATCATTCAATCTATAGACCTCTTGTTCATGAAAGGAATCGAGAGGGTATTTTGAAAGAGGATGAGAGCTTTTCGTTTATCGAAAAGGAATCTCGGCTTTGGCCATAACCATTCGACAGTTTTGACCGAGAGGAGGTACTGAGGCGATCCTAACTTTTATAGGTTTGATCTCTCAATTTGTGGACCTCTCATTCATGGAAGGAATCGAGTGGGGAGTTTGGTTATGGTCCTAACTGTTTAAAGGTTTAACCAAGATGGGAATTTGAGACGACCCTAACTGTTTAAAGATTTGATCGTTTAATTTGTGGACCTCTCATTCATGGAAGGAATCGAGAGGGGATTTTGGTTGTGGTCCTAACTATTTAAAGGTTTGACCAAGTGAGTGTGGGAGGCGACCCTAACTATTTAAAGGTTTGATCGTTCAATCTATGGACCCCTCGTTCATGGAAGGAATCGAGAGGGGGGTTTTGGTTGTGGTCCTAACTGTTTGAAGGTTTGACCAAGATGGGAATTTGAGATAACTCTAACTGTTTAAAGGTTTTTTTTTGATCGTTCAATCTATGGACCTCTCGTTCATGGAAGGAATCAAGAGGTGATAATCACATTTTATTATAATTTTATACCCTCATTATCTATTTTATATGAATAAATATACTACTAATAATTGTTTTTATCTTTAATTGCAGGTTAATGAAGAATAAATCTCAAAACCCTCATCTCTCAACAAAAAGCCCACAATTTAATGAAGAAATGAAGCCATGAAGCCCAATGAATTCTTTCAAGTATTTAATGAAGAGATAAATCAAAGCCCAAGCCCAAGAGTCCAAGAAAAGCCCAATGTTCAAAGTCCAAAAGCAAACAACAAGAAGAAGCTGCGGACAGCAAAAGGAGAAGGGCAGGCATCGATGCCTGCATCGATGGCGGCATCGATGCCTGTATCAATGCCTGCATCGATACGCTGGGCAGTTTGTTACGAATCTAAGGCTAAAATTTGTTGTTTTTGGATAAGATTTTAATCCAATGGCTCTCATTCACTGATGTTTACTATAAATAGGGGTAGAGAGTGAGGGGTTAGGGGTGTGAAAAATTTTGTAAACTCCTTTTGGAGAGGAGGGCTACTCTTAATTGAGAAGGCCTTCTAAAAATTATAACTTTAGTTGCAATTAATAAAAATAATTTTTTTCTCTTTAAATTTGTTCTTTCTCCTCTTGTTGAATGATGAGGATGGAGATGAAGAGCAATTTAAAGGTTTGTATTTCTTTTTTCTTTTATTTCTTTTTAGTAATTTTTTTATTATTGCTTATTAGTTAGATTTAAATTCATGCTTGTAGTGTAGATTTACTTTCTTATCTTTTTTTTTCTTTTTGCACTTTAATTTGTAGAGTAGATTTATTTTTCTTGCATTTAATTTCTGCAATTTATTTTGTAGTTTAGATTTTTATTTTCTTTGTAATTAGATTTATTTCTTGTTCATAGTTTAGATTTTTCTTTTCTTTTTAATTTTGTAATTAGTCTTCTTTTTCTTGTTTTTATTTCTTAAGATGTGAATTTAATTCTTGTAGGAATCTTAGAATTGTATGAAACTAGTCTAATTTCTTTTATATTGTATGAATTATTCTCTTGTACTTAAAATGTTCATGTTTAGGATAATCAACTAGAGAACTAATCGGTAGAAGAAGAATTTGATAATCTATGCTTATCTTAAATGGTTTGATAGGTTATGCTTATGAATTCTAGGATTATTATCATGTTGTTGTTCTTATCATGAATAGTAATTTTGACTTAAATGATAATTTGATAGGTTACACTTTCCTTAAATGGTTTGATAATCTATGCTTAATAAATCTAAGTTGAAATATGATAAAAAGAGAATAGTTTATATTTTGTAATTGAAATTGGTTAGTTGATTATATTCTAGATTTTGTTACCTCTTTTAAATCCTTCATCTTAACTTTCTTAAAATTTCTTTTCATTCTTAGTTTTATTTCTTGATTTTATTAATTTATTTTTCTTGCCTTGTGATTTTATTTATTCTTTAATTCTTCCTTCTCTCCTCTAAAAATCAATTTATTTTCTTTTGCAAATATTCATAACAATCACTCATCACATTCACACTTATTCTTTATTCCTAATTGTCACGCACTCATCACATTCACACTTATTCTTTATTCCTAATTGTCACGCACAAAATATAAGAACCAAGTTTAATAATCTCTTAAAATCACCTTCTTCGTGGGATCGATATCTTTTTATACTATAACTTGATAAATTGTGCACTTGCAATTTTTGGTACATAATTATGCCGTATCAAGAGGGGATTTTGGTTGTGGTCCTAACTGTTTAAAGGTTTGACCAAGTGAGTGTGGGAGGCGACCCTAACTATTTAAAGGTTTGATCGTTCAACCTATAGACCTCTCGTTCATAAAAGGAATCGAGAGGGGATTTTGGTTGTGGTCCTAACTGTTTAAAGGTTTGATCAAGATGAGAATTTGAGACAACCCTAACTGTTTAAAGGTTTGATCGTTCAATCTATGGACCTCTCGTTCATGAAAGGAATCGAGAGGGGATTTTGGTTATGGTCCTAACTATTTAAAGGTTTGACCAAGTGAGTGTGGGA